AGATTGACTGGCTTCCCCGAGGTGTCAGTCTACAGAGTTCTGTGCAGCTGTCCCTGGAATGTCACTGCATCTAACAGCCGTATGAGTAAGTTTCAGTCCCATATTTGGGGTGGAGTGATGGTCTTGAAACTCACTCCCCCCAGGCTGCATTTTGTGTTATCCGAGTTGCCAGTGCGTGAGCCTGGCAGTGGGGTAGTAGTGACCTGGTCAGTGTTAGTACCTGGCCACATGAGCTGGGGCGTATCCCTTGATCTTCCTGGCCTCAGTCTCCCTGTCTGTAAAATGAGGGTTCGGGGTTTGAGGGATGATCACAGAGCCTCCTCCTGGATCCAGCATTCTGGCTTCTGGTATGGGGATGTTCACTTCAGTATGATGAATGGTAACAGAGTAGTGATAACAGACACTGGGTGGCAGGCTCAAAATGGGCTATAACATACCTCTTACTGATTTTTATGGCTGCTGGTGAGATACGTCCTGCTCAAACCTGGAGTGACCGAAGAAGTGGCTAAGTACAGTCTAGAATTTGAGGTCTTAGTGGACTAGCTCTGATGGGCTTCAGAGCCTCCTAGATGTTAGCAGACCTCCGGTCTTATCAGTTTCCTTAGCTGACTATATTTAAAGGTAATAAAAACTGTTTAAACATTTAAAGACTTGTGAGAGGGCATAGAGATAAAGTCTTCCTGTCTCCAGAAGTCTCTGGAACCCCTTCAGTCTCCCTTCCCACAGGGAACCTCTTGGACTTATTTCTTGGGTCTCCTTTAAGAAATAGATGATCACACAATCCTAAGTCAGGATACTAGTGAGCTATAGATTTTATTATAAATACATTACACATTTTTCTGGACTTGGCTACTGCAATATTGTGTCTCAGATCTTTTCCTCTAAGTATGTATCATGCTGCTGCCATCTTTTTAATATGGGACACCATGGACAGATGGACACAATTTACTTAACCAGTTTCCATTGAGGGACATTCTGTGTTTCCTCTATGGTTCTGCTATTTCAAACAACTAGTATCGTAGGGTATACATCTTCGTGTACGTGGGCGGGTGGTTTATGTGGCTTACGTATAAGCCACATGGTTTTGTAGAGTGTACAAGAAGCATGGTGTCTGCATCAAACAACTAGTATCGTAGGGTATACATCTTCGTGAACGTGGGTGGGTGGTTTATGTGGCTTACCTACAAGCCACATGGTTTTGTAGAGTGTACAAGAAGCATGGTGTCTGCATCAGCTTCTGGTAAAGGCCTCAGACTGCTGCCACTCATGGTGGAAGGTGTGCAGGGAAGGGAAAGGAGGGCCTGTGTGCAGCGATCACATGGCAAGAGTGTAGAAGCAGGAGGGGGCTGGGGAGGTGCCAGGCTTTTTTTAACAACCAGTTTTGTAGGAACTCAGAGTGAGAATTCACTCCTGTGAGAATGGCACCAAGCCTTTATGAGAGATCTCCCCCTGCAGCCCAAACACCTCCCAACAGGCCCCACCTCTAATGTTGGGCATCAAATTTCAGCATGAGAGGCTCTGCACCTGTGGATCAAGCAGCTAAGGCACCAGCCACATACACCTGAGTTGGCAGGTTCAAATCCAGCCCAGGCCTGCCAAACAACAATGGTGGCTACAACCAAAAAATAGCCAGGCATTGTGGTGGGACCCTGTAGTCCCAGCTACTTGGGAGGCGGAAGCAGGAATATCGCTTGAGCCCCGGAGTTGGAGGTTGCTGTGAGCTGTAATGCCATAGCACTCTATCCAGGGCAACAGCTTGAGGTTCTGTCTAAAAAAAAAAAAAAAAAATTTCAACATGAGATTTGGAAGAGCCAAACAACTCATATTTTAAACCATGGCAGCATGTAAGAAGAGATTCTAACTTAGACTAGGAACTGCTCAAGTTTGGCTTTCTGGGAGAAGTGACATTAAAAGCTGAAACCCAAGGTTCCAGCTGTGCCTGGGTGCATGCAGCATGTGGTATGCTTACAGGGAGCATGAGGAGAGGTAAGGGCTGGAGAGATGGCCCAGAGCCAGGCCACACAGGCCTAGAGGCTGGCTGTGTGGAAGGGCTGGACTTCTGGACAGCTTGGGGAGAGCGGCTATAAAGGCTGGCTGTAGGGTGCCACATGTCTGGTCAAAGGAGAACAGGGAAATTATGGAATGGTGAGAGGCTGTTGGAAGCCAGGGTGATGAAGATAAGTCAGGTTGAAACATGTGAAATGGGCCAAGGCAAGCAGCTCAGGACTAAACCCTGGGACAATATAGTAGAACTGTATGTTTCCATGACTTTTAGGGCTCCTACTCATTCCTCAAAGCCCAACTCAAAATGTCCTCTCATCATTAGGAACTCTCTTTGGGGCAGAATTACAGGCTCTTTCCTCTTCTGTTATAACACCATATTGAGGGATACTTGTCACAGCAGTAGTTCTCCATTGAGACCTCAGTAGATAAGGAAATGCTTGCTAAATTAAACAGCAAGGTGAATTAGCTGAGGTACACAGGTAGCTGATGAGCCACATTTTACAGTGAAGAAACTGAGACTCAGAGCCTAAGCAATTCTCCCAAGTAGTACCTGAAAGGATTCTGCCATTTTGGCAGAAAAATCAGCCTTCTCTGCTTCTCTAGGTTGGAACAGTTCTTGTTCCTGCTCCAGTTCCCTAAATTATTAATCTGTAAGACAGTTAACTGAGCAGGAGCAAGAGGTACACTTTGCGGGAAGATAAAATGAGAATGAAAAAGCATTTGGTTTCCAAGTACTCTATTGTCTGGTATTCCAAATGCTAACAGGGAAATTTAAACCCCTTCTAAATCCCAGCCAGAGCAATGTCGCCAGGACCATCCTGGTGGGCGGCAGGGCCCTGGCCTGGAGAAGTGCCTGGAATTCTTAGACAATCTGGATGGTTAGGTGGTTGGAGCCTGTGTCTGGAGTGCTCCAGCAGCTGGGCTGGGAGAAATCTCTTGGCTCCACTTATTACAGCCTATTTTTAGAGGGCAGTTCAAACTGGGGTGGAAGTTTTCTGCTGCCTCCTCCCCCCCAACTAGTCTATTTCACTCCTATCCCTTACCAACTTCCTACCCTTTCAACGACTGTCAGATGGGGCCATGGTCTTTGAGCAGCGCAGTTCAGTGGTCTCCTTCCGGAACACTCTGTGTATAGACACTGTTATAGTCTTTTTGATTATAGCCTTCCTAGTGAGTATGAGTGAAAAGGTATCTCACTGTGATCTTGATTTACATTTCCCTGATGATTAGTGGTGTTGAGAGCATCTTTTCACAATGCTTATTGGCCATTTGTATAAAATCTTTGGAAAAATACCTACTCAGATATCCCTTGCCTATTTTTAAATTGGGTTATTTACCTTTTAATGCATAAGTGTTCTTTATATAGTACAGATAGTAGACCTTTTTTTTTTTTTTTTTTTTTTGAGACAGAGCCTCAAGCTGTCCCCCTGGGTAGAGTACCGTGGCATTACAGCTCACAGCAACCTCCAACTCCTGGGCTCAAGCGAGTCCCCTGCCTCCGCCTCCCAAGTAGCTGGGACCACAGGCGCCCGCCACAACGCCCGGCTATTTTTTGGTTGCAGCCGTCATTGTTGTTTGGCGGGTCCGGGCTGGGGATTCAAACCCGCCACCTTAGGTGTACGTGGCTGGCGCCTTAGCCTGTTGAGCTATAGGCGCCGAGCCCGGATAGTAGACCTTTACCAGAAAAATGGTTTGCAAATATTCCTCCCATTTTATGTCTGTATTTATTTTTAATGCACCAAAGAAAAACATGGCAAGCTGAGAGGGGGAATGTGGAGATAGGCTGTGAGGGGGACATTGGATTCCGGCTCAGCCTCTTGCCAGGGAGCCCAGGTGCCCTATGCTGGCTCTGGGAACTGCCCTCCACATGCTGTAAGCTGTGCCAGCCCAAGCCCCTTCCTTCATTGTCCCTCTCCAAATGAAAGATTCAAAAGGGCACAAGAGGATGCCCCTGCATTAGTGGCTTCCCGCAGCTTCCTGACTCCCGCAGACCTGCCAGCTGCCTTGCACTCTAGAAGACGGACTTGCAAGTGGGCAGCCCAGGACAGACAGGGTTATGATTGTATCTTTATCTGCTTGCTGTCTCCCAACCACATCTGGGCACTCCACAAGCGTGGGTGCTGAGCATTGTACCTACCTTCGTGACCCCAAGGAGAGATAATAAACAAACATACGTAAGGAAAACTGCAAGCCAGGAGAGAAGGGGGGAGGTATGCCTGAGTTAACCCAGTTAAGCTGAGCCTCAGTTTACCAATGCTAAAATGGAACCAGGAGTGAGTCCACCTATTTCACAATGCTGCCTTGAAGACCAAATATCAGTAGACTAAAATGCTAATTAAAATTACTTTACGCCAGCCGCAGGTGCCTAAAAAGTCTCTAGGTAAGGGGGGTAGGCACGTTGGGTGGACTTGGAGAGAAAGAAGCAACTTTGCATCAGACTCTACCCAGAGAGCGCCCAAAAGGATGGCCCCAGCATCAGGATAGAACCCATTCCCTTTTCCAGAACCACAGGGTGGATCTGGAAGGCAAAAGTCAAGATAGGCGGAGTTTGGCGCGGTCAGCTGAGCAGGCTCCGATGGGTGGTTTGGTATTTTGTGTTTGTTGTGAGTACATGTCGGGGAGGGAGACGTGGCTATTGGGAGACCCCAGGGTTGGAGCTCCTTCCAGAAAGGCTTCGGGGGCTGGGACCGGGATGCTGTAACTTGAGATCTGAGAGATTCCCTTCCTTGCGCTCGCCCGCCACCCCCGCCCCCCGTCCCGCGTACCAAGCTTTAGCAGCTCCGCTCTGCCCGGCACGTAGCCACGCCCCCCGCAGCCCTCCTTCCGCGGCTCGTGAGGCCACGCCCCTGGCGCGCCCTCACCTCGCGCTCTGCGCGGCCCCGCCCCCGGGTTTCCCGGCTCTGCTCCTGCCCCGCCCCCTCCGGGCCACATTCTTTGGGCCCGGCGTCGCGCTGCGCCAGGCGGGCGGCGGCGGAGGGGGCGGGCTTGGGGCGGGCTTGGGCCGGCCGGAGGCTCAGACTCCGGGCTGGGAGCGGCGGGAACTGGCGGACACTGGGCCACAAGACCAGTGGGCGAGCGGCGCGTGCGGGGGCTCGGCTCTCCGGGTGTCGGGGTGTCGGCCCCAGGATCCGGCGGCCGCTGGCGGGAGTCGGCGGCGCTCGGCTGGGCCTGGGTGCCGGGTGCCCGGCTCCGTCAACTCCCGCTGCGGCCGCCATGTGGTGCCTGCACTGCAACTCGGAGAGGACTCAGTCCCTGCTGGAGCTGGAGCTTGACAGCGGGTAAGGGGCCCAGGCGGGGCGGAGGGCCGGGAGTGGGTCAAGGGGAGGAGGGCAGCTGAGCCCGCCCGGGGTGCGGTAGGGTTCCGGGGGGTGTGCGGCGTGCTGACGGGTGGAGAGGAAGCCTGGGGGGCGCGTAAGTGTCAGTGTGTGCCAGAGGGAGGCTGCGGGAATACGTGTGTCCGTCCGGACGGGGCGCCTGGTGTGAGAGCGCAAAGCCGCCTGCAGGGCCGCGGTGCGTTCGGTATGGGTTTGGGTGGAAGACCCCGTGGGACCCGAGTTTGTGCTTTTGAGAAAGAGATGCTGTCCGGACGGGAGTGGTGTGTGTGCCCTGGAAACAAGACTGTCTGTGGAGACGGGACTGTGTATAGAACAAGAGGCTATTGGATGCGAGTTCGAGTGGGGCTGAGTTTATGTAGAAGGGAAACGGAGTGGGATTGGGTATGATGTGATGTGAGGGGCAAAGAAGAGCGAGCCGAGTAGATGGAGTTGATGGGAAGGAGTGAGCCCAGCGGGGTCTGAGTCAGATTGCAGGCGGGGCAGAGGCAGCCAGGAGGCCTCTTGCAGGCCTGTTTTTTCGAGATCCTGGGCCTGTGTCTGGGTTGATACCTCTGCTCTGTCAGCAAGAGCCCAAGAAGTATATACGAGGACTAGGGATCCATCCAGGACTGTGAATGAACAGGTGTCACACTTGGGCCAGGGGCTGGCTATGAGTCCAGTACCATGTGTCTGGGAGGGTCTCATGGGAGTGCGCTGGGGTCTATGGAGTCAAGGAGTTTGCTTACATGTGGTTGCTGTTTGTGACTTAAGTACAGACAGGAGGGAGGCTGCTAGCGGGATTGGGGGCCTCATTTATGTGCAGGGTGACAAGTGTGCACCTGGTGTGGTTAGGGATGGAGTCTGGTATGTCAGAGAGGCCAACCCTTTTCTGCTTTGGGGGCCTATGGGTGGTTGTCTGAGCATCGAAGGGCCCGTGTTTGTGGAGAGAGAGGGAAAAAGAGTGTGTGTGTATGTATGTGCTGGGAATATTGATTTTCTCTCTCCGCTGGCCAACACAGCTGCCCCCTGAGCCATGTACAGCCCCCTCTGAGGAGCCGGGGGTGGGGCCGAGAGGATTTGTTGACAGGCTGACTTAGCTTATGTCAGGCCCCCTCTGAGGGAAGCCCACCTGGAGCTGTTTGATCTTTCAGTTCAGAAATTCTGCAGCTCATGTCCGGCAGTTGCACAGGGACTGTGCATATGTTCCCCTCTGCTCCCTCCTCACCCCAAGGGCCTAGAGCTCTGGGCCGGAGGCTCCATGTGGGGCTGTGGGGGAGGTTCCCAAAGACCCAATGCTCCTTGCATCTGGGGTGGAGTCTAGGCAGCTGCAGCTGCAGGACCATCTGTCTGGAATCAGTGGCAGCAGTCTGGGAATGGGGGTCACGTTATTCATATCCCACACACGCCTACGGCTACAGGCAGGCCATCAGCTGTCCCCTCAGTATTTCCATTGCATTCTTATCCTGTGGTACCAGCATCCTCATATCCCAGGAGAGCAAACGGAGATTGAACATTCTGGCTCTGTGGTTTATTGAGTGCCTACTGTATACCGGTCCCTGCTCTAGACACCAGGAACATAGCAGTGAACAAAACTCGGAGTCTTTGTCCTCATGGAGCCAGCAGGACCCCATTGGGTCCTAGTGGGGAACCTGGTAACCGTGAGGAACAAGTCAGCACACTCTCCTTGCTGCGCCCTTCCTCCCTGAGCTGAGTGGAACTGAGGGGTTTCTGCCCCTCCATTAGGACCTCCCCAGTATTACCATTCCAGTTGGCATGTCCAGGCCACCTCTTTTATGTATTTCTCAGTCCCACATCTGTTCTCATTAGAAGTCTAAGTATCTGATCTGAATCTTCCAGCTGCAAAGAAGCTCACTCAGATCCTTCTGTGGTCCTGGCTGGTGATGAACAGATGCTCTCCAGGTCTCAGAGCGTGGGCCAGGTGTCTTTGACATTGAAAATCCCTGCTCAGGTACAGCCTACAGTCCACCCATGAGCCTCAGAGCAGGTGGATTCCATTTGCTGTGGAGCACCTAGTGTGTTCCAAAGGAAGCCAGGGAGGAAAGGAGAGAGTCAGCCCAGTCCTTAAGGCAGGAAAGCTGAGTTAGGTACTCCTTGGGCAGAGGAGCCTTTCAGGGGCCAGCTTACCTCCACCTAGAGTCCTACTGGCTGGCCATCACCCCCTCTCTAAACTTAGATGGAATCCAGTGTGCTCCAGAGACCTCAGAAGATCTCCAGTCTGTAACAAGCCCCAGACAGCCACTCTGGTCCCAGCCATGCCACTGAGTACCACCTATAAGTGCAGGCCTCTGATGGCATGTGGCTCCTTGCATTGTAGCGCTCTGATGCTTTGCTGTTTGGGCCTCTCGGCGTCCCGGGACTCTGCTTACTCTCATTTTCTAAATGGTCCCACTTAGGCAGTGAACCCAGCAACTAGACCAGAATATCACAAAGGGAGCCTAGAGGAGAACTCAAGTGTTGGGATAGAGGCCTCTGGAGGCCTCAGCCAGCCCTGCTGGGATTTTCAGCTTTTGCTCAAGGAAGCCGGACTATGAACTAGTTGTGCTAATATTTACACAGCTTCAGTTCAAAAACACGGACAGGAATGACAGCTGTGTAGTCCAACAATGTGATGACTGGGCAAATAGGTGTTTCTGGAAGGGATTGGATTCAGGGCCGCGGGAGCTCAGTTATACAGCAGAATCTCCATATTGACCACCTCCCTATACTACCCACCTCCTCAAGTTGACCTAGTTTTCATAGACTGCATATGCACCACATACACGTATCAGTACGGTAGGCCATGGTCTTTCTGTTGACCATGTCTGTACGTTGACCAATTTGTTACAGTCCCTTAGGTGGTCAACTTACAGACGTTCTACTATGCATATAAATGTGTATGTTCATGTGTGTGCACAAGGTTTTATCTGGTTGGACTCTGCAGAACATGGACTCATGTTTTGCCAGGAGAATCTCCGAATCTAGGTCTCTTGGGGCATCAGGGAAAAAGGACTTGGGAAAACAGATTTTATTTCAAATCCCAGCCCACTTTTGTGAGTTTATGCAAGTTACCACACCCCGTCTGAGCCTCAGTTTCCCTTAAGTGAAAGGGGACAATAGTACTGCTTCTCAGAGGTTCTCTGAGGATGTTGGTGTCTGGAAGCCAGGCCGAGCTGACCAGCCCCCAGGCCTCTGGTCAGATGCCGCGTTTGTTCAAGTCAGCACTCTGCTCTTCCCAACGGCCAGTGACCTGCTGGATTTTCTTCCTTCCTCTTTTGTAAATTTCCTTTGAATTATGATGACGCTTGAAATATCCTCCCAGTCAGGACAGAAGCAAGAAAGATGACGGCACAGGCCAGATGGGCTCGGACCCAGCTGGAGGCCTAGGGAGAGATCTCCTGTGGACGTGTGTGTTTATGTGTGTGGGGTGCTCAAAAGCTGTTGAGTGTGATTTATCATAGATCCTCAAAAGCAAATCCTAATGAGTTTAGAGGCTATTAAGGCTCTTGAAGAATTAATTGGCGTGGCCTTAGAGAATCTGGCTGTTCCCACTGCAGGAGCTGCTGCAGAGAGAAAATTGATGGCAATTATGGTGGAAATATGGCAGGGTGCCACCTGGGCCTGCCCCTTCCCTGGCTGCTGTGGCTGCACCCCAAGCTGGGCAAGTGCTCTCAAGCTCTAAGCCTGTGACTTGTACCCCAATGCCTCCATAGCACAGCTCCTGGCTACCTGGTAGGCGAAACCGATCATTAGTGAATGAATGCACCTGTGAATGCAGGTGTGAATGAATGCATGCAAGCTCTCCTGGGGATGGAGGAGTGTCCTGATCTCTGGAGATAGGTATGTGACCCAAGGGCCACCCAATTTTGTACATTCCTGTGTTCCTTTATCCATGCAACACTTACCGAGCATCTACTTTGTTCCAGGCCCTGGACCAGATGTAGAGGAAGCGAGGTTAATAATATGAAAGTGTACATCATGGGGCACAGGCCTTGGGAGTTTCCACCAAACCCTGACTCTGGGGTGGCGCCTGTGGCTCAGAGGAGTAGGGCGCTGACCCCATGTACCAGAGGTGGTGGGTTCAAGCCCAGCCCCGGCCAAAAACTGCAAAAAAAAAAAAAAAAAGCCCTGACTCTACCTCTTCCCACCTGTGTGGCTTCAGCTGTATTGCCTTCACTTTCTGGGCCTTGATTTTTTTTTCTCATCTGTGAAATGGGTCCAAAGAAACTTTGGCCGGGGGCAATGTGCAGTTTTGCCTGGTGACTGATGTGTACAGATGCCCACCACCTGGTAGCTGATGTCACCAATATCACTATTACCACCTTCTCCCTTTTGTGAAATTTCTACTGAGGTAAAGTGTTCCTAAGACTTTTCTTTTTTGCTGATTTATGGTATTAAAGCCTGATTTCTAGAGCCCTTACGGCTTTTTGTGAAATCTCCCTCCTTGTGTCCCAGTTGCTCTGATTTGAATGTATTTTATGCCTTATTTGTGTGTAGCTGCCACTCTCCTGCTCCTTGATGGAAAGGCCCATTCCTTCATTTTATTTCTCAGTGTGCAACTTCCTGATATGGTGACAGTTTAATTTGAACTTAAGGCCACAGTGTGGAACCATAGCCCAGGTTACCTCCCAATTGTAAAGATGGGAAACTATGAGTGCATTTGTTTCTCCTCTTTGTTCAAAGCTCAGTGTAATAATAATAATAATAGCAGTGGCTGCCGTTTAGTGGGCTCTGTGTGAAATACTTAATTCTTAAAGTGATTAAAGAGTAAGGTCCCTGTTTTTCAGATTGAGGGAAGGTTCCATGATCAGTCCAGGCTCACGATCACCCGCAGTGAGTGCTGAGGTTAGGTGTGTGCTCATTCTATCTGACGTCAGGGTCCAGGCTCCCTGTCACCTGCAGTGAGTGCTGGGGTTAGGATGTGAGCTCAGTCCATCTGATGTCAGAGTCCAGGCTCACTGTCACCT